TAATCTCCACCTATACAAAACAATATTACATAGTAGACACATTTATTCAAAACACCAACACAACACACTGGTGAAAATAGTGTGACTCCTGGGATAGAAAACAGGGATGATTTTTCTAAAATGATGGAAAATGTCTCCCCCAACAGCTTGGTGTCATGGTTGCAGGCTTCCTGTCTGTCATCATCCGGGCCGTGGTCGTACAGGGGGGAGTCCTCCCCATCATTTCAGATTCACAACAAGGAGGGAGACTCAACTTTTGGGAGTGAGTATGTGTCAGTATTTAAGTGTGGTAATAGATTAACCACTCAATAAAAGAGGTATTCCAACTATAAGAACTAAATATATTGTACTTGTAACGCTTAAACATCTAAACCCCATGTTTTGTCTAAATCAGAGGCTGCATCCTCTTAAGTCGTTGCATTAATGAATTTAAAAGAGACTAAAGGTACTGGTAAACTACCAATCAATTGTTTGATAGTGTTCTAGCGATCTTCCTCAACCTCTAAAGTCCTTAAATGTCACATGACCTAGTAAATGTGTCTTTCTCAGTGGGGTATGATTCACGTTTCACTTAAGTTTAAACAACAATTCTTTACTGTTTCACTAGCTTTGACACAAGCCCTCTGAGGAGACACACTTTCTGGACCATAACCTTTGGAGGGGCATTTGTGTGGATCAGCATCTATGGGATCAACCAGGCCCAGGTCCAGAGATATATCTCCTGCAAGAGCCTCACACATGCAAGACTGTGAGTACTGTTTTATGGGAGATACATTTAACTGCTCTTCAAACCAATCATGCAGGGATTATTGCGCTGTAAAAGAGACAAAATAAGTTTTCATATGTTTCTGTTCATGGGTTTTTCCTCATTTTTCCAGATCTCTGTACATCAACCTGCTGGGCCTCTGGTCCATCTTGCTGTGCTCAGTGTTTGCAGGAATGTGTCTCTTCTCAGTCTATAAGAACTGTGACCCATGGACCGCTGGATTGATTTCTGCTCCAGATCAGGTACCATGTGAGGCTGAGATATTCTGATGAATGTCTTGAACAGAAAATACAGAGATAGCCGTACAAATAAAGAAAGAAAATAACCAAAATCTTCCCACTGACTCACATGATACAATGCACTTCTCTAATCCCTTCCTCTGTAGTTGATGCCTTATTTGGTGATGGACATCCTGCGAGACTACCCTGGCCTTCCTGGTCTGTTTGTTGCAGCTGCATATAGTGGATCTCTCAGGTTAATACAGTAAATATGTATATCATTTTAGATAACTTTAATCAGCATTCCACAACATAAAGTGTGGTTATACTGATAACAAGTTGGTGTTTTTCCATCCATGCACGCAAGGAATGTGTTTGATTGTTCTTTTTTTATTAAATTGTGGGTCATTTTGGTGCTTTATCAACCCCAGCACAGTGTCTTCCAGCATCAATGCACTGGCTGCAGTGACAGTAGAGGACCTGATCAAACCCTACACTGACATGTCTGAGAAACATCTGTCCTGGATCTCAAAAGGGCTGAGTGAGTGGATCATCTCATGTACAGCAATTGAGAAGAGTTGTTGAATGGTTAACATCTCAAAAGTTTCCCTCATGTTGTCCCTGTTGCAGGTATCATGTTTGGGATTGTATGCATTGGAATGGCCGGACTGGCTTCAGTCATGGGAGGGATCCTGCAGGTGGAGTAGATGTGCTTTGGAGGCTTTTGGAAAAGAAAGGTTATGATTTATAATAGCAATGAACCCTATGACTTAATCGACATGTGCTTCTTTATACAGGCAGTCATCAGTATATTTGGCATCCTTGGGGGTCCTCTGCTTGGCGTGTTTACATTGGGTATTCTCTGTCCATTTGCCAACTCCAAAGTAAGTCCTCATCAAAGTGAATTAAAAAAAACAAATCAGATAATAGAAAAATACTTTTATTCCTGAGTAAATAATTAACCCTTTAAATATTAGGGCTTTAAGAGCATATTGATTGTGTTGAGTATTACATTATGGAGTTTTTTGATACAAATCTATGATTGTTTGTATTACCCCATGATAGCACATGCCTACCACCCCTTAAAACATCTATAACCATCTTATGCCTGCTTTTTCGAAAGGTACATTTTTCTTATATTATGTGATGAAAATGTCTTTTAGGGAGCGTTGTCAGGTCTTGTGTCAGGGTTGGTTGTGTCTCTGTGGGTGGGCATCGGAGCCCAGATATACCCCCCGCCCCCTGAGATGAGCCGACCTCTGTCCCTGACCACTGAGGGCTGTAACTTCAGCACCACAGGCCGCTTCAACTGGACCTCCACTGCTCCGCCAACACAGTCCACCCCCATCACCACATTTCCAGTAGACGGCAAGTAAGTGTGTAATTAGATGGTAGTTGACAACTGGTTTAATATATTTGCCCTATTTAGTGTCCTCACTTCGCTAAGAGTAATGGTTACCTACAAATATATAAGATTTCACCCCTTGTTAACTGTTTTGTCCCCCTCCAGGCCTATGCTGGCAGATAACTGGTACTCTCTGTCCTACCTTTACTTCAGTCCCATTGGAACCATCATAGCTATCAGTGTGGGATTGTTAGTCAGCCTTATGACAGGTAAACAATATATAATTAGTTTAATAATATACATTTGTTTTAAGTACTGTTTTTGATGTGCTGTGTTTGTTATTTCAGGAGGCAGGAAGCTGAAAGTGGAATCCAGGCTTACATTAATGAAAGAAGACACAACTGTGTATCACCTATTCAAGTTTTTTAAAGACAGAGTAAGTGCTGCAGCAGTGGATCAAAAACAAAGGCTATCAACTAATAACTAATCATTTATGCTCTTCCCTTTTCTATAGGTCACGAGCCAATCAGAAAAGCTTGAAATGACGGGGGACAGAGATACAAAAATTGGTAGCAGTAATCCTGCTTTCTGTGACGTTGAGCTGGACTTAACAAAAAGCAGCATTCCAACATAAGATTCAACATGTGTTTTTACACATGTATGAGTGTATATGTATTTTTTATGCGTTTTCAAATCTGGTATCTGTTAGAATAAAAAAGAAACATAGGACAATCAAGGCTGTTTTATGGCTCTTCATTGAGTTAATAGTTTGGAAATCTTGGCTGACTTCTTCCATTTTTATATAAATGATTTTGCTGTATCCTGCAAAGAGTTACTGATACAAAATAATAAATATATTTATAAATAAAATCTGATACAAGCAAAGACAGTGAAGAATTGTATAATATTTATTATGACACAAAGCGTCACTGTTGTAGAATACTGCTTGACTTTTATCCAATAGTGCATTGGTACATAGTCATGTACATTTACTCATACAAAAAGATTGACTATGTATTTACAAATATATATACACTGAGAATACATTGTACAATATGATTCAGTCAGTCTGATACCTAGACTTCCAGCTGTTTTGAAATGGAAAACCTATGATATAAACATATACAGTATTCACAAATCAAAACATTGGCATTTATCAAACTTCACTTTACTTGGAAATAAAAAAATAAAAGCACATTCTGTAAAAGCTTAATTAATTATCACTTTCTGCCATTAAATATGGACGGGCAACAGGGTTTATTTCATTTTTCACATTTCTGCAGAGTAATGTGTGCTTGATCTTATTTTTAAAGGCGTGGTTGGGAAAATGCAAAGCTTTGCATTATTTGATACATTTAATATAAACAGTACTTTACGAAGAATAATCCGGAGCTGTCTATGTGTCTGATTTTTTTTCTGGATCAAAATACCTCTTCTTCATAGCTCGATATTTCCTGAGGAAATACAGAGCCTCCAGTTCCTTGATGACAAAGTCCCCTCGGGCCACCAGCTTCTGGATCTTTTCAGGGTCCTTCTCGTCCTTATTCTTCATGAAAGCTGTCTTAAGGCGTCCTCTGAAGTAAGCTGCTCCCTGGGGGTACTCTCGGCCAAGATACAGCAGCTGTTGGAGGATGAGAAACACATTAAACACATGAAGAACACAACCAAAACGTGTGATTTAATGAGTGGTGTAAAGTAACTAGGTTGATTTACTCAATTCATGTTCTTAAGTACAATTTTAAGGTACTTGTACTTTACTTGAGTTTTCAATTGCTACTTTGTACTTCTACTCCACTACAATTCAGAGGTACATCGTGCTCCACTACATTTGTTTAATACCTTTGGTTACTTTGCAGATTTTGGTTAATGATATGAAATACAGCTGGAGGAACATTCACAAGCTACCCCGCAGCATACAAGGTAATAAAAACTAGCTGCGCCTTTACCAGGTTTCATTACACTTAAATGCATCAATAATTATATTATCTGGATAATTAATACTTTTACTTTTGCTACTTTAAGTTTATTTTGATGCCAATACTTTTGTACTTTTACTGAAGTAACTTTTGGGATTTTTTGTCTTGTACTTGTACAGAATATTCCTACACTCTGGTACTTCTACTTTTAGTTAAGTACAAGAGTTGAGTACTTTTTCCACCCCTGGTTTGAATGACTTCCTTCACTTACAGTCTTGTAAAGCCTGATAACTTGCTCTTTTAAAAGGTTGGCCATGTCAGAGCCAAGGTGCCCTGTAGGACTTCTGAAACGAGAAGAAAAAGACACATTACGTTAACTGAGATGAAAATGCGAAAGACACAGTCAAACTATTTAAATAGCTCGAACCCTAAAGGTAAATAGTTGCCACCATGCCACTCTGGATTTAGCTAGCTTACGTTACAGCTAGCTTGTTAGTTAGCATTCAACACATACTACAGTAATAACAGACTCTACAAACGACCATAGTAAATAGCGCATTCATATTTACCCGTCTCGTTCAGTTGTAGTGTTTTACTAAAGCGGGTCTACATTTAAGAGACTTTTGCTTTTCTTTGTCCTTCCTGTGACTAGAGTACAGCTCACTAGGGCACAGTCGTATGTCGTTACGTTGTGTCGTAAAGAAGAATAGATAAACTACGCATGCGTGCACGTTTCTATGGTTACCTGGACGCTTTAGAGCTTTTACTTTCAGCATGGTGAGTTTTTACAAAGTTTTCGATTAAATAACCCCCGGTTGGTCTTAAACCTTGTCATGTTCAAATCGTTTTACCAACATGAACTACTATTTTGTTACAAAACCTTGACAGTAAGGATAAAAGCCTAGTAATAGGATAGTAAATAATACACTGTGTTGCTTTCGAGTTAGCATTAGCAGGAAGAACTTTCAACTGCTTTATTTCTTTTCCGGTTTTTCCCATGTGCCTTGTGAAAAAAATTCTCTAACTTTCTCTCTATGTTCTTTCATGTGAATGATAGGCACCCAAGAAAGGAAAGGTATGAGAATAAGTCAGTCAGCACATTACAAATTCTACATTCATCTGCTTACCATAGAGTTTGTTGTATGCAGCCAGCCAGGAATATAATTCACCATCTCGCTCTTGCAGTATTTTGTCACTAACAAACTTGTACGGTCCACCTTCACCTCAGTAACATAACCTTTTTTCTACTCACTGATTTGTAATATTTTTCAATTCAAAGGGCAAGCTGACCAAAACCCAGAAGGCGACGCAGCAGCAAGAGGAGGAGGAGAGGAGACTGCAAGAGGAAGGTAATCCTAAATGATGAGGAATTGAAATCTGAAAGAAACTGACGAAAAGCAGTCTTTTTATTCATGTGTTTGAGCTTCGACCATGCACTGTTTAGCAATCAAAGTAAGTGTCTGTACCCATGTGCTTTTGCTTTATAGAGGAAGCCAAGCTGCAGGTAGAAAAAGAAGAGCAGGAAAGATTGGAAGGAGAGAAGAAGAAGAAGAAGGAGCTAGAAAAGCTTGAACTTAAGGTAAGGCCAATCATGATGTATATTATCTGACTCTTTTTCCTTGTGAGGATACATTCAGTCTCAAACAGACCCTGCTGACTAAAGAGCAGAACTGTTAACACCACGATAGACAACTCTTGAAATACACAGTAGATGTACACTTGTGTTGAGTTATCATGGGTGTTTTTTGCTGACAGGACCAAGAGCGCAGAGAGGGTGAGCTGAACGAACTCCGCCATCTGCTGGAGGAGAATCACACTGCAGTAACCACATGGAAAACAGATGCTGAGGAGAAAGCCAAGGTGTGTGTTCCTGATTCATACACAGGCAGACACAAGCATAGAAAACGACTGACTGAATAAATACGAATAATATATCCAATGAATAGATCTCCGATATTAACAAATATGTTGTTTGTGTCCAGTGGGATAGATACCTGCACTGTGATGGCAGCCCAGACCCAGCAGTGCAGAAGGATATTAACACATACATCAGCTTATGGAGAGAAGACCCCGGGGTCAACATCACACTCGTGCTCAAGCAATGTACTCTGGCTCTAAAGGTCTGAATGTAAACATGTACACTCAGATGATGAATCAATGATGATTAAAATGTACAGTGTCCAGGACCACTGCTAGCCTCATTACAACACCATTACTACTGTGTTTCTGCCTTAAACTGATTCATTTCGTCCCTTATAGCTGGCTGAGGAGCTTGAAGGTCTGATCAGAGATAACACAGATCCAAAAGAGGGCCTGAAGTACCAGGAGGGGTTCATACTCCTGCAGGAGCTGATCTATTATAAACACCTCCTCACCACTGATGATATCCTTCAGGTACACAAATCATAGCTGAACTTACACACTGTGATGCAATTGCTTACTTTAATTAAGGTCATTTTCTTCCTGTTCTTAGACGGCCGGTGCGAACATCGACACTGAGACGGGCAACATGCAGACTGTGGTCAAAGACGACAACATTACTCTGTGTCTCTGGGCCAACCTCAAGAAGAACTCGAGGTCTGTGAAGGAAGCTGTGACAGTAGAAGAGCGAACATTCATATTTATCCTATAGTATCTATTATTTGTCTTTCTTTCTCAATTCAGGTTTAAAGGTTTACATTTTGAAGAGGCGGGCCTTGGCTTTGAGCTTCCCAAACAGCTGGCTGTGAGCAACATCGCTGTGCGGATCCTCCACACACGTTATGACCATCTGTCCACACTGGCTAGGATGGCTGACGTCAGAAAAAACACACCCCTCCCCAGGTATATACCCCTAATAATTTATACTACAGCTAATACTCTAACAGTAATCATAATGCTGGTAATCATACCTGTTATTTTTGCTCTCTCTTCTTCTCTCACCTCATCTGTTTGCTCCCAGGTCTCTTGCAGGTGGTGAGGAGGTTCCAGCAGAGATAGGTGTACCTGAGCAGGGGGAGACAAAGAGAGAGGGGGAGGCGGTGGAAGACATTGAGCCACAGCAGCAGCAGACAGTGGATGAGGAGGTGCAGTCCATCCAAGGCCATGAAGGGAGGAAGGTAAGACGCTGGGTTACTAGATTCAATGTAATGTTTGTGTTCTTATTGTGTGTGTTTCTCTCAGAGTGCAGCCAGTGTACAGTCGAGGAAAAGCAGCCCCCAGCCCCCAGAAGGCCGTGGGAGCCGGATCGAGACACAGATGGAGGCACTCGGGGGTAAGATGCCCAGCCTAACGCTTCCAAATGTAAACAAAAAGAAAGCCACATCACACAGGACCTAAACCTGCTGTCACTCAAAATGATTGACATGTCTGCAACCACATTTACAATATAAATGTTTTCTAGTCTAGTCTGGTCTACAGAACTCTTGTTCTTTGTCTCTACAGCTGAGGGGGAATCGACGTCTCCCCTAGGGCAGTGGACCGTGGTGGACAGCAGCGAATGTGTCCAGGCGGTGGACTTATTGCAGTACACACCTCTGGGGGGGGTCTTCTACTATAACGTGTTTCACCTCCCGCCACAAGCCCACCAGGTTAATGGCTGGGAAATCAGACAGGTGAATAGAACAGGGGTTTCAGTGCTTGGTACTCACACCATGCCCAGCAGCTAATGCTCATGTTTCTCTAGCTGTTGGATAAAGGGCTGCAGGTGTTCCCCTATCCCGAGGAGAAGTCTCACTCAGAGGAAACTGAAGCCGTTACCTGCCCTCCCGTTGGGGTGTCCGTGACTCTGCCAGACTTTGTTGTCTTTCTGGAAACTCCTCAAGTGGCTCGCTGGGATTCTGCAGGTAGGTCAGGCAACAACACGTGCTACATGATTCTCTCCTGCAAGGAGACTCATATCCAGGCAAATATTTGTTATATTTCTGGGTGATTGAAATGTTAGGTTTAATAAGATATGCAACGTAAATGGATAAAGCCAGGTTAAAATTCTTTTTGATGACATTTCAGATTCTTTTTTTTTCATCTCTTTTAATTATTCAATGAATCAGTAAAAATAAAAACTCACTCCACTTTAAATGTGTAGTAAAATTACATACATTTTGGAAGACATTACAGTTGAACAGGGTCAAACAATGTAACTAATACATATCACCATGAAACCTTCCAAGTTACTTAAAGACTTTTTGTATTAGAAGTGTTTTGACATTAAGTTTAAATATGGCATTATGTAATAACATTTCTTTTTTTTTTAATATACAGAATCTACAAGTGTTTTTTTTATGTTTTCATGAGCATTTACATTTGTTATCCAGGGAAGCAGTGGAGGATGGACGGTATCACTGATGTGTCTTATGAGGAGGCAGAGGCCAAAATCTCCTTCAAAATGGACTCCTTCCAGGCCTTTGTGCTGATGCAGGAAACGTATGCCAACCTTCCCTTCCTCAGCTGGGAGCTCAGGCCGCTGGGCCAGGACTCGGCTCTTTTCACCGTCAACGGGGCGCTCATCGACCTCAGCATCACGATCCGGGTGAGAGACAGAAAAGTATTGTATGTAAATCCCAGCAGAAAGGATCGTTAGCATGACTGATCTCTGTTTGTGCCGACCAACAGGGTGATCAGTGCATGCTGCAGTCAGACCAGGAGAGAGGTCTCTCTCCCCTCAAAGGGAAGTGGATGAGTGGCCCCGCCTTGCAGAGAGCCATGCTCAACGCAGGGATCAACATCTTTGTGAACGAGTACACGGACAAATACGTCAGCTCCTGCGGCAAGGTCTGCATCTTATCTTGTTTTTCTTAAAAAGGAACAAGATGAAAGAGTTTTGCTTTGATCGCCATTCATTCTGTGTAAATGCACAAACCAGTGTGGCAGCATAGTTTCTACCATGTATCCACATAAAGTAAAAGTAGGAGATGACAGGATATCTCTACAAACAGGTATGTTTACCATGTTTGTGTTAGTTTGTAGCATGCTAACATTTGCTACGCTGCGGATGATGTAAGATGATGCTTATGTATTCATAAGCCAAAGAATTAAAGAAAATCATAAATGTAAAATAGAGCGACCATTTAAAATAATTATTCAGTTATTTTTTACTGATAATACTTCACTAGATTACAGTTCTAAATGTGCTGCGTGGTTTCTCTCCTCTTCAGGACCCACTCACAGAACATGCTGCCTACGAACAGATAGCCCTCTTCGCCTCTGCCTGCGCTTTCTCGCGGAGCAAGTGGAATGCCAAATGTGGAGCGGCGCATCTGGTCATGCAGGTACTCGCTCTCAGATACAGCTTAATCAATTTAGCATTCTGATCTTTTCCCAAAACAAACCTTACTTATTCCCTCTCCTCTGCCAGGTGTGTGAGCACTGGGGCCCTGCCTCTGTGCCTAAGGGCTCCTGGAGCCTCTACCTGATGGGGGCACAGCGGAGTCAGAAGCTGGAAATCACAGAGCCGAGTGAGGCTTTCTCTCCGGACCTCTATCCTGGGAGCGAGTTCCACTCCACCTTCATCCACATGCTCCAGGACGACATGAGCCCTGAAGGTGTAGCGAGGCCCAGAGGATCCAGCTGTCTGTTTGTGGACACAGTGCAGAGCCTGCTCTGTGCCACCAGACCACTCATGTATTCATAACCTGTGTGAACCTTTTTAAAATGAATAAATGTATAAAATGGATGCACATAAGAACACACATCTTCTATTGTAGAATTTGCTACTTTATTTGTGTGCAAAGTTTCACGCATCTTCTTTGGAACATACAAAAGAAAATTAACTTGAAAACGGTGACAACCACAGCAAGAGGAAGATACAATTAAAAACCTTTGGTGTAAAGACTGTAACAATGTATAATTATAACTTATTAACAAAAATATATATTCACATATCCCCACTCAAAACTAAGACACTCAATATAGACTTCAAACATTTAAATACACTTTAACAAAAGTTTAATTACCAGTGCTTATTGACTTAAAGTTATAAAATGTCCTCATTTCATCAAAAAGGCGGAGAGTCGCCCCTTTTCCTCAAGTGCATGCACTGTTTAAAAAGCCTTGTGGCACAATAAGAGCCATAGTCCATGATGTGCATCAATGGAAACTGCACAGCGGCCCATTGTATGACCCGGTGGATTCAGTGCTGTCATTCTGTTGAAGTTGGAACATGATTGGCGATCGTTGTAGCTCAGATGACTGATCAAGCCTGATTTGACAGATTGTATTGGGTCTGGGTAGATAGGAAAACTGCATCATGATGCGTTCAGGACGTTGGGCAGCCAACTGTAACAGGAGATTTGGTTTTCCCCACCTGTAACTGCTTCTTCTCTTCAAACACAGACAAATGCACACACACACACTAACTAACTAACTGAGCAAACGTGACATGATGCATAAAGCCTCCATAGGGTTAACTATCCCCTGGGGCCTGGCCTGTTAATGAGAGTCTTGTGTTGGGAGTCTTCAGGCACCAGTAAACATACCAACAGCCTCTGGGTTTAGGTACACTGCACTACATCGCCAACCAAGTGCCTGGATCTGCAGAGGTTGAAGGGCGTAACAACATCCATCCCGGGTCTCAGGGGTTAGACGGGGGGCTGTCCGTTATGCCGGAGCCCCGTGTAGGGCCACAGTAGCTGCTGGATGGTCATCCAGGAGTCCCCGGTCCCCACAGGGGCGGCATCAACCGCTGGCTGCATCACCAGGCTGGCCAGCAGCGCCAGGAGACCTGCAGATGAACCATGAGTAAACAAGTACAAAGCATGAGACACAAGTATCTCTGTGCTGTACTGAAGAAAAGCTGCGTTTGCTTAATGTTCAACAAAGGTTTTTTTCTTTAACCCTCTCTGCTCTGATTGGTTAGCTGGCCGGCTCTGTTGTGATTAGTCAACTGCTAGGGCCTCGTAAAAAAAACAATTCTTATCAATGCAACAATTTGTTTAGTGTTTAATCAGTTGAAAGTGGGTCCTTAAATTCCAAGGTTGTAAAATACAAGTCTGTTTTGTGTAAAATAGTCATCTTACAATAAGTCCTACAGACAAACTGAGCGTACCTGCTAGCACCACCACCATGGCCAACCAGAGCCAGAGCCCCCGGCCACTCCTGGCTACTGCGGCTGCTGCGGCCGTCCGGGAAGAGGTGAGGCTGTGGGACAGAGACTGGGCCATTCCTGGGTCTGTGGAAGTGGGGCTAGGGGAGGGGGTCGGACTGGAGGTGGACAACGAAAGAACAACAAGTTACCACATGATGGATACAAAAATGAAGCATGAGTGAAAAATGGTTAGAGCTAAAGCAAGAGAGTGATTTAGTTACCACTAAGGACTCACAGGGAAGGGAATAAAACCCATGACTCATTTCTGGTAACTAATTCAATCGATGGCAGGCTGCGAATGTTGGCGTCAATGCGGCATTTTACCACGATGTCTCAAACAGTGTCAAAGATGAAGATCCATTCACATCATTAGCATAATGAAAAGGCTGTCAGAGGCTCAGTTAATGGCGGTTGGCATGGAGGTGGATTTGAGCATCAGCTGGTAAGGCAAAGGCAGCGGACAATTATAGCCTGGAATCTGTCAACAGTAAGAGTGCTGCTTCAAATCACTTTACAGCCGTCAAGAGTTTCAGTTCGAGGCTGTAATGAGCCTTTGATTGGTCTTTGGCATGCATTTCTTGTTTTGGGACAGAGATCAAATCCACTTTGGACTCTCCTCCCTTCACACTTACAGCATCACAAACAGCTCATCCTGACTCCTGAGCAATGTGGAGCGGAGGAAAAGAGGAAAGGAAAGTTCAGAACAGCACATCATCCGCTTGCACAAAACACTCATTTGCAACAGAAAAATAAAGTAGTGTTGTACATAACATGTTAAAGCGGCTGAAAATGTTAGAGAAAGACAAAATAAGCCGGGTAAAGATGAGTTAGTTCTCAGTAAGATGCAAATCAGAGCTTGAGATCCTTGCATGAAACGCAGATCATAAAATCACTTATCACATGGACATACACTGATCTCAAGACAGTTAACAGCTGAAAGAAATGCTTCATTTCAGGCCTTTTGCTAGCAGGTACGCTCTGTTAACATGATTAAAAGCAGCGGAGCCTGGAGCAAAGGAGAAGCTAGTCCAGCACAGACCCATTTAATGAAAGAGTTTCATAGCTTAGGAGGTTCCATATAACCACAACCTTCTCTAACTTTGTTTCTATTTGTAACACGAGTGATTATCTCATTAAATTATGCAGAATTTGCTGCTTGCTTATCGATAGTAGAGAATTGGACTTATACAAAGCAAATCTCTCAAAAATACTCCAACAGTCATGCAGTAATTGTGTTGAACAATCTTAGTATTAGCATTAGCAGTGCTAACTCTCAGAAAAGCTATAGCTTGCAACCATCCGAGTGCAACTTTGACAGAAAATGTAAATGTGTGACTGATGTCAAAACGCGTCAATACTTTTTTATGTCAATCTTTGATAATAAACCTTCCTTCATGGGTGTATTTGCATTTAAGATATTTTAGAAAATATTCAGTTTGCAGCTACTGGAACCTCGTTACAGCTAAATGATTATCTCTCCCAACTTTGCAGCACGCCTCTTAGCTTTGCTGGCAGAAAGAGGTGCTGCAGTAGGCCAGTGGTGGGTATTTGGTTGGACTAACGTCTTGAGGGGCAGAATGAGGGAGGTGAGTTTGCTCCCCAGCTCACTGAGGCTGGACCTCCTCCTCTCTGCCACCGGCTCCTCCTTCTGCTCGTCCTCCACCTGGCAGTCGGTGTTGTCGTAGGCCGTCCTGTGGGCACGCGTGGGTCAGGCATTCACAAACACACGGCTCGGTTGCACATTCAAATACAACCACACAGATCCTGTATGTGCACATGCACTTTTCATGCGTATGCAGCCAAAATAAATAAATTGAATAACATTCTGCGCATTGCAATGAGAACCCTGCACACAATGCATGCCCAGCAATAATATCATGAACCCACAAAGCAATTTTACAACCTTTCAGATATTTGGAGAGCATTACATGTCCTTCAGTCGTTTCATCTAAGCATACATTTTTGCTTAGCTAGTCAAATACAGAAAATTCTACTCTTCTCGTCCAAACATTTGAAAGCTTCATGATTCTAATAGAAAAAGTCAAAGTCCACACAGTCTCAAACTTTACATCTTACACAAAAGGAAATGTGCTAGATTTGGAAAAAATACCCAAAAAAGATATTTGCTTCTGACAAACACTTCCCCATGCGAGGAGGGACCAGATGCATGAAAGATGGAAGCTGTGGTGTGATTACATCTTTAGATTTTTCCTGTTCTCAAAAAATAAACAGCTTCATCATTTCCTTTGCAATATTACAGCCAACATGTATCACTGTGGCTAAATATATTTGCAATTGAAATGTTGTCTTTTAAAGTTTCAGGTTTCTTATTTCATTGATTGAGATAAAATACTTAATATTGTTCAAGCAACGGTAATGTCACACCAGAAAGCTGCCATCTTTATGCATCTGGGGCCACTGTAAAAACTTAGCGAGACACAGCCAGCGCGGCACCCTTCTCATTGGCATGTCTTACCCCTTCATCAAGAGAGAAGGTTCTTCAGTTTCAACCCAGGCCGCAGAGCTAACAAAGCGCTTTAGTGGGGGGCGCGCTGAGCTCTTCCCGCCCACATTCCTGGAAACCATCGTTATCACATAGGGGAATAACAACAACAACCCTCATGTCATGGTACAGCGCTCTTTGGTTGATTGAGGAAAACAGCCAGTAACTTCCTGCACACCAGAAACTATACTGGTGTGTTTTAAAGGGCAGAGTTATTTCACTTTCACACAAACAGACTTAATCTAGTTAATTTCACTCTACATATTACAATCCAGACTGATTTAAACCCAGACACCTACCATGGGGATCGTCTGGTCAGTCGCTCCGTCTCAGTCTCTGAGCAGTCTTGTGTTTTGGACTGTGGTGGGAAAACAATTTCAGTCATTATTCATCTAAACAAAAATGCTTGTTTGCACAATATGAACCATAACTTTACCATATTCTGCATGTAAGTGGCATTGAAAGCTATCCGAATCCAATGGAAATGTAAGTGTTAAAACCTTATGTTTATTAAGGTTAGATGTTAGGTATCTAATTATGGAGGAAGTACTCAATGCGTTTATAAAAATATACACTTTTGGGATCATTTTCTAAACCCTACATACAATAGAAGGAAGGTTTGTATTACCCAAATCTAAATCAAATATGGGACAGAAAACAGTCATGTACAAAGCCATGGTCAGCTGGAACTCTTTACCAGTCCACATCATTCAGGAAAATTCTCAAGTACATTTCAAAAGGTTGCAAAAAAATTATTTAAGTATTATAAAGTAAATTTGAACTGTGTCTGTGGCTATGTATGCATATATTATTATGTACACTTATTTGTATTTACTTTTGTTTGGCCTTAGGATGGCGATAATTGGATGACCATTTTAGTTTTCACTTCATACAGCACTGTAAATTGCATGAAATTATGAGCCGTTTTGTTTTAATTTTGTTTTATGCATGTTTATGTATGTTTTGTGCGTGTGAGGACCCCAGGAAGAATAGCCAATGCTCATGCTAATGCTAATGGGGATCCTAATAAAGACAACAATAAGACAACATTGCCCCTTGGAGCAATTGGCATTATTTCAAGCAGGAGGCCAGCCAACTAGTGAATCATGGATGTATCTTTGTATACAAGTGCAAAAAGCCAAAACCCATGACAATACCTATGGCATGCTACATGATCTGAAAGCGACAGTCCTCACCATGTCAAACTGCATGTTGCCTCCACCAGAGCGAGGGATGGCTGCTATGCTGACCCGCCGGGTTGATGACTGAAAAAAAAAAAAAGGCACTACTTTCTTAACACAATCATGAATATTTCTTACAACTTTAGTCCTGAGTAAAGGACAATGATGAGTTCATATATTGTATAAACCGTAGCTGACCTTGTAGTACTGTGTCGGCTGCTTCTTGCCACGGAAATCATCTGGAAAGAGGAACAGTTGGGGTATTTTGTATACACGCGTGTGCCATCACTGAGAATATTTTCACATATCGATACCTCAATTGTACATACACATATGCATACAGAGCTGATATGAAATCGTCACTGTATTGATTGTATATTATGCTTCACGTGTGTTTCCATGTGCATTTTCTCTTACCCTTACCCCTCTCCGTTTGTGAACCAAACGACCTCTCGTTCTGCATGAGCGCCTCTCTCAGCTCCAGCAGCTCGGCGTGCTCCTTGGTGTACATCCTCCTCAGGTTCTCCACGTGATGGATCATCACCTCCACAGCCTTACCGATACGACTCTCCTGGTGTTCACAAATCACATTGAAAATCACCAGCCTGTACACTTTGTTGTTGTTGGCACAGGAAAATAAATGGTGTAATTTAAACCTGGTGAATAGCTCCTAGCATCTCAGAGCGACTGGACACCCTGCTCATGGACTGGATGAGGATTTCCAGGTTCTTCTGGAGCCGCTGGATGATCTCCATGGACTGGTTGTCGTCCTCACACAGAGGAGTCAGAGCCTGGGACAGGACGGAAAGAGGACGAAGTTGACGGAAAACACGAGGTAAGAGAAGGACAAATCATGACTGCACCTGACAAGATAGGGTACATTATTTTTAAAAGAAGAATTTGCACTCATTCTCACAAACCCACACCTCATTCAGTTTCAGGCTATTTAAATTATCGTTATACATCTAAGGTAATTGATACAAGACCCATTCCATTAAAGTGTGATACTTTCAAGATTCATGCTACCAAAAATGACTGTAGATTAAAACCACTGAAGATAATTAGTATCAAATCAATCTTGTGCGGGTTCAAATCCAGCCTGGAATCCCTCTGTCATCTTTCCTTTTCAAATCATATCCCTATAAAAAGGCTCAAACTGGTCCATAAAATATATTTGAAAAAATATATAAAAGTCTTTACTATGCTTACGGGTAAGTGCTTTTGATCTTTGTTTACTTGAAAAAAAAGAAGGTATGCAGGACAGTAGAGGAAGAAGGTGCTGTGCTATTCAGTGGGCAACCAGCACAACGTGAAGAGTCCTCCCTCCTAAGACTATATAAATGTAAATAAATGACTCTTATTTTGTAAGGTGTTGGAGCAAAACAAGTGCTTCATCCACAGAGAGCTGGTAAATTGCACACTTTTGCATTCTGACCTGCAGTAGGCCCTGGCAGCTGGAGATCTCTTTGCGGACGTTCTCCTCAGCCAGGTCACGTGACCTCTCCTCCAGCCGGAGTCTCTTCTCCAGGGTAAACATGTCGCACTTAAAACCCAACGCCAGGCGCTGGAAGTCCGCCTGAAAACATGGAAAACTCACTTGACACGTTTTGCACTTGCTGCTGGACGCCTGCTGCACGTGTTCTGTATTTCCTGCCAGTTGCAGACAAGATAAACATTTGGAACATTTCCTTGTTTGATTAAGATTTCCCCCATGAAAGAGAGCGTTATTGTGCTGGTGGTGAAGCCGAATCAGATAAATATCATTAAACTCCTGCACTTCCCTGTAGAAAACCCTCACAATACATGAATATATGAATAAAGTAATACTTTAATCTTCTGTTACTTGTTTGTTTCCATCAATTTGAATGTTTTTTGTATTAAAATACTCTTTCAAGTTGTGCTTTTAAATGTCTGATAATTATTAAATGAAAAGTGTATGGTTATTGTATGGGTTCCAAAGACAAGTGCAACCTTAGTAACATGCAAGCTTAAATTTGTACTTAGATTTTTCTGATTTAATTACGACAAAAGTTTAAAGAGAATTATGCAAAATGAGAATTCCTACAGAAAAACAAGACAAAGAAATTGTCAAAAAAGTGTCTCCTAGATCTAGTTGTATACATACCTCAATCTCCTTGTCATTAGGCGACAGGCTGCTGGATAAAGAAACTGCAATGAGGACTCATTGACAGGACAAATCTGATTACATGTATTTGAATGGTTATGGATTTAATAGTCAAGTTGTTTTACTATTATCATTTTCGGTCTTACCTGTTCTTGTCCGCTATGGCGGTACCACTGCTTCCCGACATACCAGCTAGAAAGGGAAATGATTTTCAGTTAAATAATGGCACAAAAAACACCCAATTTACAATCAAAAGACAGGTGGTCAATTATAAATATAATAATAAGGATACAAGAGTTGTACACATACATCCTTTGTCCGTGGCCACGCTGCTCTCACTCTGGTCCTCCTGAACCTTGCACTCCTCGATGACCTCCATGCTGCTTTCCCGCTCCTGCAGGGCCCCGACACACGTTACTGCCTCGCTCTGCTTCACCTCCTGACCTCCCTTTGACTCCGATCCCTCTATGCTCCCGTTCCCCTTAAGATCCATACTGCTCCCTTCACTCACTCACTACTTCTTCCACAGCTTTTACATATTAAAGATGAAAAGTGATGAATCAAACAAGCTGGCAGTGCAGTTGGCTCTTGATTCTGAATGATCTGATCCCGAGTGGAGCCTAAATGAAACTATGCACTCCCTCTTCCTCTTCTTCATGCGCACACTCACATAGCTGGAAAGACAGCATTTCTGTTCAGGTCGAAGAGTCATGCGGAATCAGATACTTTTGGCACAATCTCATCACTTACAAGACCATGTAATCTGAATAACACCCACTCCATTAGGCCTGATCCTGGTGTTGGATCAAATCTGCTCTGAGTCGGTTATTTTTTATATAGAATAGAAAACATTATGCATTACGAATAAAATATGAAAAAAGGGAACCAAACTAATGTGCACATTTGTAAATCTCCATACTTGTGTGTGGCAAATGTTACCAAACTTCTATAAATTGATTGTTCTACAAAATCAGTTGAGAACTCCATTATTGGTCTGGTAGTATTTACTATACCTTACCTAATGTGAGAACTGATAAAAAAGCACTAACTTCAGTATAATGACCCTGATTTACACACAAACAATGGTCAAGTTCGACAGTAGTCAGGCAAATAACTTCAAATCCATGTCACCATTACTATGTGAAAACACTTAGTTGAGGAGAAAGGGCAGTAAAGCAGGTCTTACCAGTTCCCTCTTTTTTTTGCCACCGAGGGGGAGGGAGTCTTTTTTGGCTGCACTATCCTCAGATTGGCTGGGGTCAGAGGTCACGCTGCCAACGCCACTCCCCGATTGGCTGGCGTGTGTGACGGACGATCCCGACTGAGGAGAGCTGCTGGTGAACCGGTCAGTCTCTGGAAGGAGAGTTGGTGTGTGGGTGGTCAAAGTTACACGTGCTTGCAAGAAGGCGTAAACAAACGGTCAGCTTAAGAAATATCTCGCTTCATCTTCTTCACGCATACTGTTTTTCTCCCTACCTTCCATGCTGGCGGATACTGTTGGCACCACCTCTGCTGTACCGTCCTGCACACTCTCCTCCTCTTCAACCAACACGGGTAGCAGACACGTGCTGGAACACACACACATAATACACCATTTGTAAAAAAACTAATACAATCAAGAGTAATTTCTGCTGTTGGATGATGACGCTGGGAATCACTCACCTGTCCTCGGCTGCTGATCTGTCTGCAGACTGGTCCTGGCTCGGGCTCTGATGGGCAGAAGTAGGGAGAGGAGGGGGGTGTGAGAAAAATACAGGTGGCCTTGGAGCTAGTTTTTCTGCCCAAGAAATGGTCAATGATTAAAAGACACACACATATTCACATGTAGCGTACCTGTCCCATGGCAGTGGACTGATATCTAAGCTGTACAGTGTGTGGAAGAGAAAGCTTGGACTGATCTCTTATATAATGTGTTGCTTCATGGAGAGCCCTGCAGCTCTGCAAAAGTGTGTGTGTTGCCGAGAGGGGTGCTTGGAACACGTTAACACTGGCACAGTGCTAAGTAGTGGAGGCGGACTGCGTGCTACACATAGTGGTGTGAACATGAACACACGCACGAACACTCACACGCACAATGGAGCAAGGTGATCGCTCAGAGCAATGCAATGGGATATTGTGTAATGAGTGTGAATCTGTTTTAACACACTTCAGAATAAGGGAGCTGCCTTGCTATTAAACTGAATATAAAAACCAAAGAAGACCTCAATGTCATTTTAAATAAAAAACATTCTAAGTCTAGGCAGAAATATGAACTGATTTAAAGCCAACACATTCTTTATGAGCTTTGATTTAAAATTCTATGTAAAGCTTTATAAAAATAATGCATCAGAGTGTGACATCTTGCCCTGTGTCTATACAGTCTATACAGTCTACCATCCAGCATCAATACAGGAGGAAGTCCTATGAAAATACTGTATCGTCCATTTAGTAAAACAACTATTTGAATTTATCCAAATGCTTCTGATCATAAGAAACTCCTTTACTTTGCTGGAAATGCAAATTGAAATGATAAAATAAAACAAACACCTCGACATGGCTGATATGAGCGTAAAACTGCATTTTTATTGACGTACAAAACACCCCCACAGAGTCAAAGCATGCCTTTCTTGGCTCCCTCAGACTGTCTGTCAGCAGGGAGGCAGTCCAGCAGCAGGTAGGGAGGCTAAATAAACCAAGCTGATCAATTTCTCTGCAGGATGCAAACCAGACCGAAGGCATCACAACACAAGCAGGCCTTGGCTTTGACATGAAAACACTGCGAGCCCATCTGAGGCTGCTCATAATTACCGTGAAGCACTCCAACTGCATGGAGCACACGTCAAAACAACTCAGTGTGAACACTAATTGGATAAGAGAGAGGAGCCACTGTGTCCAAGCCTTTGCTAAAGGGCTTTAAACATCAAGGTCATTTATTTGATAACATTCTTCTGCTTTAATTTATCCGGTTTTATCACATTGGGTTACATTGGTCAATTGATACAATCAGTGACAACAATTTTGATAATGTATTAATTATTCCAAGCATAATGCCAAACATTTATCGCTTTAAAATTGGACCTTTTCATATAATTTTACAACAAAAACGAAAATGTTGTTTTTAAGAGTGCTATTCAAACTCAATGAAAGTGTGTACTGACATTTGAATGACATTTGTTCATGTCATTTTTGGACACCTTAAATCAACAACATTTCTAATAAGTTTAATAAGAGAAAAATAAAAATATCATCCTTTTTAAACCTTTTCTTACTGGATGCTCTTTAGAAATCTTTTATCAAGGTTTCTAAAGTGCCATGTCCAACTGCATTTCAACGTTCAGCATTTTAAACTTGACAATACTTAGCAATAATTCAATTCCTTAAATTCTCACCTTTAAAATACTTAATAAGTATATAGTACTCCTTTGGCAAGATAGTTCAGAGAAGCAGATAACCCATCCTCCCTAAGAAAGCTTGAGCAGTCAGTAAAATGATGGCTGCCTGAATTTGCAATATTTGCCTTAATTGTAAATCTGACCTCTCCTCCTTGCCCAGAGGGAAGACTCCATCTCAGCCTCTCTGAAGGAAAGCCAGCCCCCACCCTGCCCACCGAAACCCTTCTTACTTCAAAAACACACCTCCTTTCACTCAGCTAGGAAACACAAGGTGGCAGAGAGTAAGAGAAAGAGGAAGGGGAAGCAGTGTGCAGCTGGTGCTGAAGAGAATAGAGGAAGTTGCATTCCCTTATGCATTAAAACAAGTCCTCTCTGCTACTGACCTTAGTACGACTCATGTCTCCTGTGCTTGGCTCCGCCTCGCCTTCTTTCTCTTCTTCTTCTTCCCCGTGGTCCTCACTGGTAGGCTGGGTGCTAAACAAAGCGGAAGGTCAAAGGTCAAGCACTTGCCATGTTCACATTCTTGATGTATGCATGACATGCACTTGCTACCGATAATGAAACAGCAGTTACAGTATGCAATGGTAAGAGAGATGAGGAACAACCTTTGTCTCTCTGTAGGTGGACTGTGCATATGCAAAGCACGGCTGCAGAACAACACACTCCTCCCACAGCGAAGGAAAACACCCATTTGACTAGCAAATGTGGTACAAGTCATATGAAAATGACAAAACTTCGAAAGGGTGACTTCAACTGTGGCTCACACCAATCAACATCATTATATAGAAAGGAAACTTCACACTGGTATGAAAATGAGTCAGGATGCGGGGTGAGGGTGTGAGGTAGTCGGTTTCCTAACTATGGAAGGTTGTGTTTGGTGCACCTTAGGAGGTGGGATTGAACAGGTGTCTGCTGTATTTAGGTGCAATAAAGTAAATGGTTATTTTTAATTTTCTACATTAACCATTGCATTGTGTAATTATTGCCAATAAACAACCAGGTCTCCAGGTATAAAACAGTCTGTTGTGATTAAACTTCCTGTTCCTTTTTACCTAACATTACTGCCTTCTTTGTTTTGGTCCTGTTTTGTCAGTCAGATATTATAACGTCAGATGTATCATGGGGAAATGACAATGACTGGGGATATTGAGAAAGACTTGCTGCGTCTCCTCTTTCGCTATCTCTCTTTATAAATGTTTAATTATTATAAAACATATAGAGGGGGATTATTCAATGTTTGACCACTCTTCGGAAGTTAGTGTAATAAACCAGTTTTGTGATATGCTATACTTGAATAAATCTGGAGTATCAGTCTAATACGCTGCTCATGTGCATTGAATTCAAAATGTTTCTTCATTCACCTCTCAGTCTGGGTAATGGTCTCATCTGGTCCAGGTGATGTGCTGTCGGTAGGAACTTCTGTGGGAGGGGTGTTACTTGGTGTGACTGTTGGTTCTTGTTCAGGTGAGCTGCTCTGATTTTGGGCTGGATCACAGGAGGGAGACTCTTCAGTCACAAGAGCCTCTCCATCTGTGTAAACAAGAGGAAGAATATTGGTGTGAAGTATTGTGTGTGATGGCCAGTGCAGTGTGTAACAGGGTAGTGTGTCATTGGCTGCTGTAATAATACATTTCCCAGTGACAACACCAGAAAACACTAGCTCAGTATGACCTGCATGCAAATGTGTTTATTTTTTTACTTAAATGTATTCACATTTTTTATTTGAGCCCCGTCTATTATTACCTAATGGTTTGTGTGTTTTATTCATTTGTTTATATGTCTTTTTATGAATATCCATCTGAAAAATGTACTTTATTTGTCCTTTCTGTGAATATTCATTATATGCAAAAAGCAGCCATCAGTTAAAGATCCCATGTCATGCTTTTCCGGTTATTACCCGTCCCCTTGTGTGTTATGTAGCTTTGTCTGCATGTAAACGGTCTGCAGAATCACAAACCCTCAAAGTACACCCTGTAGCGAGTACAATTCTAACACAGAAAATACCTGTCTATGCTGCCCCAGAACGCCTCGTTGGAGATTTCTCTTTTTCCATTGTTTACTTCTTGGGTACAGTGACGTATTTCGGGTATAGTGACGTAACGGCTCCGCAGATTGGTCCAAATGTACCATTCGGCGAGACACCACGGAACTCAGCCTGGGCACACACACAAACTCCCAGCCAGGCTGCGGGTGTGGGTGTGTGCCCAGGCTGAGTTCCGCGGTGTCTCGCTGTCTCGCAGACGGCCACTGGGCTCACAGGGAGGGCAGGAGCTCCAACAAGCCGTTTAGGACAGAGAGTGAATACACATACTATACAGAGATGCTGTATGAGAAACCAATGTGAGTTTGGAAAATTGCACAATATAAATTTATTTTAGTGGACCTCAACAATGGAATTATGATCAGTAGAAATGGCCATGACATGGGACCTTTAACACAAATATATCAATAATTAACTTTTCCAGTGTGTGTTGCAGTAATGTATTCACTAAGTACATCACTTTATAAATGTAGTTCTGGATAACCAAAAAAGAAATCCAATAAAAAACGATTTTCATTGTGGGTTTTGGTAGAGTTTGACCTTTTGCAAGCAAGATTTCATAAAGTCTTCGCTCCTCTAAACAAACAGCTAAAATACCAAGTGAGTCAGGAAATGACTCATTCTTTTGTAAAGTTGTATTTGCACAGAGTAGAGAGGCTGTGGGGGGGGGGGGGGGGGGGGGGGGGGGGGGGGTCTTACTGTTGTTCTTTGAGTGGGACAGATCAGGAGGAGCATCCGCCTCTGGGTTTCTAATGCCGACAGCTTGTGAGTGGGCGCTCAATGGCACCGCTTCCTGCTCCTGAAAACACACAGAAATATTCAAAAAAGGAAAGGGGCGAAAGGATCAAATCAGCTACACACATTAACCATGTACGAGACAGCCGGCCCAGAATCACTCCGTAGAAACAAATCTTTGTCAGCTGTTCAGATTTTGTTGACTCCTTTTGCAATATATTTTCTTTTGACAGAGAACACAAAGCATCTGTCCGTCAGTGGCAGTTGGAAAGACCTCCAAATTACAGTCTTCCTCATAGGAATTCAAAAGCAACAAATACTTTCTTATTCACTGCAGCAAGCACGGAGTGTTTAAATTAGATTCACTGCAAGGAAGTAGAATGCATAACATCCAAGATCAGAAAGTGTGAAAGCTAATTGGCCATTAAACCTAAAAAAAAAGTCAGTCGTAGTACTTTGAGGATTTTAGCTTTTTTGAAGCGAATGCACCTGCATGCTCCTTGCCGTTTTGAATTCATCTTCATTACTTTACATAAAAAAAAATAGAGAGAGAGGGAAGAAGATAAAAAAACAACATTTATATTGTAATAAATGACCCTTATAACTCATAGCAATTTCAGACTTTAGATACGTCTCTTAAGGGGCAGTGGCTGTTAGAAACCCTCCTTGTGCATTCGAGGATATTCTGGTATATGTCACTTGAAACAGCATATTTTCACATGTTGGTGCATCCTTGAACACAAAACAAGGAAACATTTGCACAGGAAGCACACTCCTACCGACACCCAATTTTAATAATTTTTTCGTCCAAAATGTATTCAATTATGCGATTTGCCCTCAAAGATTTAATTTGCAAAAGTGTGAGAACTAACGACTTCTACATTTGTATAAACTGCATTGGTGTGACAAAAGAAATACAGAAAGCAGAGTCAAATGTGTGTGGGCGAAGTGTCAAGCTAGTTTTCATACCAAAACATCAGTATCAAAGAAATCCTCCACAGACTAAAAGTTTGGTTTGTGAGCATAAAGATCGCTCCAGTCACCCAACCAAAGTTGTTATTGATAACTTTAAAAACATCCTTCTTCCTTCCCACCACAACAACAAAAGGAAGTGGATTATTACAATACCAAGAACAGAGCTGTGCGCCAAATGAAACTCAAGCACCAAATCTGTTTTGGTACCGTCATGCTTCCTGCTGACAGTTACATTCCCGTGACCGTCACACACCTGGCAGCTAAACATTCATATCGTCTATATTGAGATTCTCAGTCAACAATGGCCAATTATTTTCTAGATCGTTCATTTTATTTAATAGATGAGATGCCTTATTCCTTTACAAGGACAATTTCACATATCCCTGTTATCACTACACTAAGCCAAATGTACATGGGTTTCCACAAGGTCAGTTCTGGTGCTATCCTCAATCGATCAAGGATTATACACACATTTCATTTAAGGCACAATCTCCAACACATTGCAAGAACACTTAAACATAATCCCATGAAAGAAAATGCCACAATGTAATTTACCTGCATAGACTGGACGTCCAAGTCTTGCTCTGACTCAGTGCAGGCTGCAGAGTCTGTAACAGATACACAGGAAGAAGACAACAATACAATGTCAACTATGAACAATGAAAGGAGGATGGACTAGGTTAAAAAAAGGACAAAACATAGATCCTGTTCATTAAATACATTTTTTTTCTCCAATTCAACTAAAGATTTGTGGTCGAGCCAAAGTGCTGTACATGTAATAAAAACACTTGACTACAATAACAAGAAAAGACAATAATTTACAAGAGAAATATGAAAAAAAAAAACACAGGGAAATGTCAGGTGTCGTACCCAGCTCTGACTAGAAGGCCAGAGAGAAGAAGTGTGTCTTGAGTGAGGATTTAAAAACCCCTAGGGTCTGGGCCGACCTCACATAAAGGGGTTAATATCCATCAAAAAGCAACCCCACCTTTGACCATAAAAGGGCAGACAGTCTATTATGCAAGGGATTGAGTTGAAGGAGGGGCGAAGAGGTTAAAATACCATGCATGGCTAAGGTGGCATTAATGACTAAATTCACACTCTAGTTTTCTGTCTCTGCCTGCCAGCTGCTCATGCAGGCAGTGGAATGGGGGGGGGATTACTGGGCTCACTTCGTGGCCTCAGACCGGTCGTACACCTGGCCATACAAGGACCTTTAGGAAGAGAGGATTTCACATACTGTGTCGACACACACACACACACACACGCTCACAACCTTAATAAGACCAGGGCCACAGCAACCATAGAAGGCAGGGGTCTACTGCCAAGGGCCTCAGAGTGTGTGTATCCACTGTGGGGATACACACACCTACAGTGGGTGAGTGTGTGTACTGTGCTGGTGCTTCAAGGGTGGCTGAGTGCCCTGTGACTCCCATGGATTACAAGGGGATAATCCAGTCTTTCTCTCACACACATACAAATCAACACACAAAGATGATAACTACGTTTTGGAACGGTTTTCACCTAAAATACTTATCCTGTGAAGCACTTTACAAATGTGCAGGTTTTTCTGCATTTTGCATATTTATAGATATCAATAGAGTGAGACAGGCATGTTCAGTGTACGCACACATGATCTACAGCTAGGAATGTGGATAAAAGTGTGGTCTCAAAATTCTCATGCTAAGAAAGGATGCATTAGTTCACATTCTTGTTGCATGAGGCTTGTTCCGACTGATTTGGATGCAAAACTAGGAACGGGCGAGTTGGGGTCAGAATGGGGCTACAAAAACATGAAACTATATGTATCCATATTTGGCTGGGCTTTATGAGTTTGCAGCTAGATCTGGGCTAATTATCGTGGATAGTGGATTTTAAAAGGCTCAATGACAACTCCTCACTTCTTAACTTTCCTGATACAGTTGAAGATTTAATCGTTACAAGCCAATTCAAAACTTCAGTATAACAGTTTGACTTTTCAAGGATTCACTACGAATAATTTTAAATAGTTGCTTGGAAGTCGAACTGATTGGATGTTGGCTGATGGTTGTTTTGTCCAACTTTGTGCCCCACTTACCATGACTCTCTTCTGCTGCTCCGTTTTGAGGCAGCGTCCTCCCAGAGAGGGCAGACACCGGAGTGGAGGTGTCCCTCACTTCCCCCTCTCCAGCTGTGTCCACCACCGTCCACCTCTCCTCCCCGTCCTCCTCCTCGCCTCTCTCTGTTCGCCCTCCCTGCTCTTTGCAGTTCCTCTCCGCCAACTCGTTCTTCAGGAAATCTTGAAGGGCGAACTCCTCATCCCAGTCCAAGTCATCTCCAGGCTAAAAAAGAAAAAGATACGGGAAAGACAGGGTCTAAATAAATGAGTGAAATGTACAAAAACACACTTCACCTAATGCAACAAAACCTGCTAAAGCAACACCATAACGAATTCCACTGTTGCAAAGTCCAACTATAGGACTAGAGGTCAGGAGGCTGAAGTTCAGCAGTTACAGACACCATAGTTGAAAGGGGCATCATTGCAAATTAAAAAGTCAATCTCTTCCAACAGACACCACAGAGGTGCTGGACACAATTACAAAAGCAGTTTCTGAACAAATCTCAGCTAATACGACTTATGAACAAATCTGACATTCAAATAAAACACAAAGCAACTCATACATTTCTTGATTAACAATGAACAAACTTGCTAAACTGAATAAATGACTTCAGTAAGAACTGAAAAATCTGTTACTGTTTGCAAATCTATCCATCTATTTCAGCACCAGACTCGTTGTGTTTTGCAGTAAAACAATAGTGATGTAATGGAAATGTTGAGGCTCGTGTCAGCGCATTTTGTTCGAGAAGCAGTGCGTAGGTGTGTGGTCGCATCTAAATTCTGCGTTTATGTGTGGGTGCACATGTCCACTTCAGCCGCCAACTCACACTCAACTCTCCTCCATCAGAGACTCCATCTGTCTGAATAAAGTGGGAGCTCTCTCACTGCTCTCCAAGCAAACCAATATCCAAATTACAAACATACAAAAACACACATGTAAATAATTGGATTGCTAGCATGATATGACTTTCCTGCCAGTAAACCTTCAAAAAAAGTACAAGTGAAACTCCCTCAAAATGTAAAGTTAATTGAATGTTCTAAAAACAATGTACGGTGACTACAGATTAAGATTGAAATACAACTTTTAACAATGGCGGAAGAATGAGGCTGCTGCTGTTTATAAGAGATAGACTGAAGCCCAATAATCCAGCCCTCCCATCCTTCCTCTCTGACCTCTTCCTCTGGTGCAGGTGTCTGGCACGAGGCCTCTCTGCTGTCCTGAGGTGTCTTTATCTGCTCCAGCTCCTCACAAAGCTGCTGCTTCTGGTTCTCCTGCTCCTGCACCCTGCATGCAACAAAACAAAAGTGTGAATTAAAACAAAATGTAGAGGGAAAACTCTTTGAGTGTCAAAAGCACTGTTAACTCTCCAGGGGGAGTTAGATGCGCAGAGACCCTAGAAGACAGTACAGTGGACATACTGTACCCAATCCGCAGGCCCATGCAGTGTCCCATTCTGTTGCCCAGGGTGACCACCGCCAGTTCACCGACTGGCCCGGTAACGGTTTCTTTACTTCACGGTTTTGTAGATCCAGACGGACCCTCTAATCTCACAGAACCTCCAATATGTCCTTCAACAAAACCCTGATCCTGTAGTCCAGTCTGACTCTGGAGTGTTTGGGCACTGTTCAGAGTAGGAGGGACAACTCAAATCTACAATGAGCCCTCTGCAGTTTTCTTTTCCCACCAAACAGTATTTAATGAGTTCACCCTGGCAACTAAGCACCAGTAAATCCAGCATGGACAGCCTGACCAGTTCCCCTTCTCTGGTCTCATGCTGTACCTCAGTAGCTCCGTTATATATCAGTAGGGGATGGCCGTCTCCATGAACACACACTCAAACAGAAACACACACGCATGGCCAAAGGGCTGGCATAGACCCATACCTAGTGAGGCGGGCCCTTTGGGGTCATTGAGGTCAGGATGATTGACAGGTCTTTCCCCCACTCAGCACAACTGACTGGCCAACTGAGACGGAGCACTGGAGAGTGGAGATGTCCAGTGATCTGATATGTGGTGTTGTTAATGTTATGTTTTAGAAATATGGAGATTGACAGGAAAATCTACTCAAACTAGCAGAAAACTTCAGTGTTTGCATAAAATAACATATTTGTATAGATTAATTTAGGTCTCCAGCTCTAAGGATAATACAAGCGACAAGCTCAATCGCTTAACAAAGTCATTAGTAGATAAATCAATAATGAAAATAATCATCAGTGGCTGTCCTAAGGTAGACTAACCAGCTAACCTAATTATGCCTAGACTGCATCTCTTTTAAGCTAGTAATTACATTGCTAGATTTAATCAGCTTCTAGCTTTTTCACTCATTCCTCTTCTTCAGTGGCATCAGTATTACCTTACTTAGCCAGAAAATGAATTTGTAAGCTCTGCCTACAAGGGTTTAATCAACCAATGAGATCACAGCAGCACAAGAGTGACTCCTCCTTAAGGAAAGGTTTTCCTACCATACGGAAAAGTTGTCTTTCATTAGCCAGCAATCAGTTCTCTTCTCTCCTCCTCTGGTACCTTACCTTTACCTTTCTCTGCTCTTACACCAGATTCTGAATCACTCACTTCAGTCACATTCCTACAGATCCCTAATTTCAACATCCACAGAGAGAGATCAGGCAACAAAGCTTAGCTCACCTGACTGAAAGGTGCAGGATCTCAGTGCGGGACCTCCTCATGTTACTGGCCATTTTGATCAGCTCCTTCTCCAGAGAGTCTGTGTACTGGGCCAGCTGGTCCAGGCTGAGGGCCCAGTCCTCCCTCTTCGCGTCCAGCTCGGCCTGCACCTTCTGCGGGAACACAAGTCCGGGGTCAGCTGCACGGCCTGAACAGCCAGGGGTCTTTAACGCTTCTAAAAAGTTTTCACCACTAACTGACACAAAATGGCACGACGTACAACCAACAGAAGACCGACTGGTACTGGTGCAGCGCTGCTCCGCTAATGATTTCGGTCTCATTTGCTATGTTTACTGCTGTATGCCAGTACGTGGCTAATGAATGCAGAGTGGCCACAATGCAGGAGGGGGGAGAGAGAGAGACTGAGAGATAGAGAAAGTTGGAGTGAGGGGAGTGGGTTGTGTTCATGGTACAACACACTGACTAACAACACTGCTTGGATGGGGCCTGTTGGAGAGTTATATAAGTGAGAAATCTCCGGAGAGGAGAGATAGTGGGTGGGAAAGAGAGAAGAGAGTGGACCGAGAGAACAAATATCAAATATCATTTTTATAAAGATGGAGACGGCCTTTTTCAGTACTGAAATGCAAACATAGGAAGCTCAAATGCACCAACACAAGCTTTCATCAATTGCAGTATTCTGACACTGACCACACAATTGACACTTGTCTGTGAAAGTGTATCTGACCTGGAGAACCGTGTCCTGGTCGCCTGCTGGCTGTGCGCAGTTGTCCAACAAGCCTCTAGTTGTAGATAAGACGGAGTTGGTTTCTTCTCTGAAATTCCTTTTCTGAGATGTATCAAGAGAAATCATGTTGTGAGAAATATAATTTCTAAAATGGAGTCCAGAATTTAAATGATAATTTGCAACAATACAAATAATTGATAAAAACAGACATTTACATGCATTCATAAGCTTGTTAAACTATCCTGACACTTCTAAGATTATATTAGAGCCTAACCTATTTTAAGTAGATGGTTATTAAAGGGGCCCCATGATGCTCATTGTCTGGTTCATATTTGTATTGTGTGCCTCTACTGTGACATGTTTACATGCTTTAATGTTCAAGTGTGTGAGAGAAACTCAATCTGGAGGGAACTTTGGGATTTTAGCCTTTGCATGTCATGTACATGCACACAAACCTATAACACACTACAGGAAATGGAAAACCCAAAAAGCATTATAGGGCCTCTTCAAGTGAACCTCAACAGTAACTCAACAGTGTTTATTTGTATTTTTAGAGTCAAGTCAAGTCTTAAACAAATGTAAATGCCCTGCAAAAAGGTTTAAAATTGACATTTCAATCTGAACTTTTAAACATTCTTTAGTCATAGTTATTCAAAGTCAGCTGATGCCATGCACAGTCACAAAAGTCTTACAAAACAATACATGATGGAATTGTATTTTCTTTCAGATGCAAATTCTCTACCCAAGTCAAAATATGTAAGTAAAAGTCACCAGTTTATTTAGGAGGTTGTTGAACTCCCGAGCCATTTGTTCCGGGTTGGGTCCCCTGCAGCATCAGCAGCACCTCCCTGTCCAGCGTTATATCCAGAGGGGAGACATAGCTCATCGTGGTGGATAAAAGCTCAACTCCATGGTGGGCCTGCATGAGATGGCAATTATTACACAAATGAGCAAAAGAGATTTAAAAACGGTTTAAATCAGTCTAATTATAACCAAGAAGCTGGAGTGTGACAAGCAAACAGCACATGCATCTAATGTTCACACAGTGCTTTGTATTGTGTATCATTTGTGAGAAACCCTACGGCTGTGGGAATCTTAGGGAATTAATCAGCTGCCTGAAGGCATACACTTCCCAGAAGTCCAGCTGGGACTAAGGGCACAGTTAACTGAGATTTCATAACGTTTGAACTAAAAAAGCAGTGTGAATGCTGGGGGCATTCAAGTTTACATGTGGCTCCATTTGAATGATACAAGAAAGGTGTCCCAGAGAAGAAGCAGCCATGAATTCTCTTTCAAAAAAATCAAAGACCAGGGTGCATGAAAGAAAAGGTGAGCAGATGAAAAGAGACAGAGTTAGGGAGTGCTGACCTCCAGTGGTGACTGAGCCAGAGCCAGTTCTGTCTGCAGGGATCCTGAGCTGCTCTGGTTCAACCTGAAGGCCACCGACAGGGACAGACCAGCCCTGTGGAGAGAAGTAGGAAGCAACAAAGATTTTACATTTTTGTGAGACAGTTTACGGCGCCGTTCCATAAATTCCTAGAGAGAATTTTTTTAGTCTATTCCCTTAGTTGTCCCTCAACTGTGAATACCTCAGACCCTTCACTCCCGGGTTATTCTCGGTTCACTCACCCAGACATGTCTGGTTGCATCATCTGCATCTGGCTCTCCAGCTTGCTCTTGTGTGACCTCAGCAGCTGGAATCAACAACAGAGAAGCCAACATAACTCAGTACAAACCCCATTGGATTTAAATACAATTCTCTACTTGGACACATCTGTCCACAACAAGGTCTGTGTGCGAGAGCAGGTGTTTCATTTCCCACAGTCGTACACATGCGGGGTAACAATAAACCTGACGCAGCAGAGAACTACGTTTACAGTAGGAGTTGATGTTTCGTCTGTGTTGAATTACTACAATTACCTTTAAACATGTTTTTAGAATTTCCCCATATTTTATTTACATTTTCTAAAAATAAAATCACTATCAGGAGTTTATGGTTAACATTTATAATATTATTAAAGTGTTACTTTTTTTTTTTAAATGATGACTTCTGCTAAGCTTTTATCTGCAACTCTTTCAAATCTCCTTTCCTATTGATCCCGAATGGAAATCAGGGAATTCATGTCCGTTGTACATGTCATATGTCAGAAAGTAGACCAAATGGTTCTTAAAAAGAATATAAAATAGCTTAATTGGCATGAGTTAAAAGCAAAAAGAGACATCAGAAACTATTTAAAGCAGTTACAGAGCATCAAAAGACAAACCAGTGGGGGTTGTTGATGTGTAGAAACTGAAATAATGATATGATGTGAGGTTCAACACACTGACCTCAGTGATGGATGAGTATTCCTCCACTGCGGACTTCAGCTCATCTATCAGTCTGCTCTTCTGTAAAAGGTAAAAAACACAAGATGAGTTCAGGTTCTTTCAAGAGAAACAGAAAAGAGAACAACAAATTGGTAGCAACTGGTAGGTTTTTGCACTGAACCAGTGTTTGCTGAAGGGATTCAAGAAATGTTATGTATAGAATGATAACGAGTGTGGGATTGGATTATAATACAAAAAGGCACTGACCTCTACTATCACAGCTTCCTTTTCACCAACAACCGCATCAAAAGAGTGAATTTGCACCTGAGGACAGGAGAATAAAGTCACATAAGAGACACACAAAGAAAGCACAGTAAAATGGTAGCGAGTTGGACATATGTGTCCCAGAGAAATGTACAATGTGAAGTTTGAAAAAGAAAAACATTCAAAATAGCTGAAGGCCGAGAAAAGAAAGAACAAGAGAAGGACACTGAGAGGAAATCGAAAACAGCCTAGAGCTTTAATAATGCAGAGACAAATTCACAAATTGAAAAGTAAAAAACTACCTGAAGGTCAGTGTTAATGTCACGCAGCTCGGTTATCCTCCTGTGAAGCTCTTCTGTCTCCACGGTGACCCTGAAGTTCTGGGGAGCCATCAAACGGTTAGGGTTAGCGCTGCTGGTCACATCCTTTTTTGAAAATACTATAACAAAATACTCTCTGCAGGCTATCTATGAATGGGTGAGAACTGTGGATTCACTGTGAACCAGGTTATTGATTTTTCCGTGTACTCGTCTGACAATAGTCCTCTTTGATCAGTGAAGTACCTCTTCCTGAAGAGACGCGATACTGGCAATGAGACTCTGGTTCTCTCTCTCCTGCAAACAAAATAAGAACAATGAAAATGAGTCCTAAATCTGCAGCGATATTACATTCTAAAGGCTTGAGCTGTACGTTAGTAAGAAGGTCTGCCTGAATATCCTCGTTTCAACAGCGATCCGAATTTACAAAAGATCCAGTTAGTTGCAAAGTGCATTACTCAAATGAACGCACCCTTCGTAAAATAATGAGTTTTCCCCATGTGTTAAATGTTCATTTGGGGTTAAATGTTATCTGGGATATAGACTTTATTGGGAGAGTGTGAACTGTGGCGAAGAGACTGGGCCTTGTTCAAAGCTTGCATAATGTTTCTTCTAGTGACAACATTTCTACATTGAATTATACATGTATGATTTTTACCTTCATACATTCTGTGGCAGAACATGTCTATTTCTAGCTTCAGAAGCAACATTGAAGTATGTTCATTTTTCATCCAACATGGGGATAACAGTTAATGCCTAACTTTTGGTCTGCAATGCAATGCAATGCAGTACATTTCAGATGAAACCCTTGTGAGAAAACAACACACACCATCTGTATTTACATAAGCATGGAAGCTAGATACATTTTTACGTGTTCTCTTTTTGACTGACCACGTGTTTGCTGTGAGCGGAGGCACGCGCTCTGCCCTCCTCCCTACAGTTCAGAGTGGCCTTCATCTCCTCCACCTCCTCGTTCAGCATCTTCTCCTTCTGGGCCAGCTGCTGGTTACTGTGCAAAAAGTTAAACAGATAATAAGTCAATAACCCACAGCATGCCTCAATAAACATCTGCCATGCCTTTGCATAAAAGTACATCTTACACCCTGGCCTGATTGTGTAGCTCCTCGTTCTCCTCTGCCAGCTTCTGGTTGCTGTCCTCCATGCTCTCCATCACCAGCTTCATCTTCCTCACCTCCTCCTCGAGCTTTTGGTTGCTCATCTGAAGGTCAGCGACACAACACACCAGCTCTGACGTCTCACTGAGGAGAGACACATACACATAAAAGGCACGGGTTAAATAGGGCACATTACATGCACGATTTATATACATGGCACAGCAGCAGTAACACCAATTGAATACATTTTATTTTCAACAAAAGTCTAAATGTCGTATCCTCTGGAGAATCACAATATTCATTTCTGTTGTGCGTCAAGTGAATTTTTTTTTCTTCCAATCAAATGCAATAATATTTGCAGCCTTTCATTAATGGTAGATGCTGAAATTGCCTTATTTAAAAAAAAAAGCTCAGTTCACTCGAACCACAATAAAATAAAAATATTAATTAAAATGTTGCTTCATCTCCCTAGTGGTATTTGTCCTTTCAGATAGTATATTCTTTTTTTAATTTATATTATATTACATGTTATAGAGAAAGGGCAGGAAGAGGTTGTCATAACTATAAATAAAAGGAATAGTATTGCATATTATTTACACAAACATGGATGATCTCTCACTTATTCCTGTACATTACTTACAATTCTGCTCTGGACGCCTCCCCTCCAAAGGCCTCCAAGCTTCCCGAAGTAATATTGAACAACATGGACCTCTTTGCTAAACAGATCCAAAACACACACAAAAAATATAACAGCCAGGCATCACTAAAATTAGATTGATGTACAATACAAGAACATGGAGAAAGCAAACATCTGAGTGATGAGATGCACACCCACCTGACAGGCTGTCTCGGAGTTTGACTGAGTCCTCCTGAGAGACTTCATCTGGTGTGTCTTCCCTTAGATACAACAGAGAAAATGTGCAGGATTATAATCACAATCTTTTTATAGGATTCGGCAGTCATGCACTATGCTGTTACCTTTGGTAATAAATGATGTATTGAGCCGTTTAATTGTTGGTACCTGGCACATTGAGCACTAAAAACTGAGTTCAATGCTCAGTTACTTTTTGTCAGGAACCATAGATCGTATAAAAAGTGCTGAAGCACAGCCCCTACACATTTGATAGTTATACCAATGTATGAAAAGCCACTTAATATGCATACATATAAGCATGTCTTCACCAGCAGCTAACACCCTGTGGGCCCGTCAGTAACAAGATGACTCATCACCAACATTGGACCACGATCACTGCACTAACAGCCCATTAAGACCTTCAGTTTATCTGAGCCCACACATCAGGCACATAATGGCTAAAATGCATAACCTTACACAGGTTTGTCAGAATTTAACCACATGTATAACAGATAAATAATAGTATATATAATGAAGGATTTTGACTTTCATTTTGTATACACAGTATGAGTCATAGCATTAGACCACATGCACATTTCATAGACCTGATACAAGTGCAGAGGGCACTGGATTATGACGCAGAACTGCTTCTCAGACAAAAGACAGCATGTGAAATGATGATGCACACAGCGGAAACTAAAGGGGGAATCTTTCTCACCAGCAATCTCTCATCTGATGCATAACCCACCTACACAATATCTACTTGCGTAACTCTAACAGAGCCTCTCTGAAAGAATAAACAGGAAAGCACAGGACTGCTAAAGACGGTGCAAGCTGGATTTGCCTTTCCATACCAGGTTAAAGGGAATAGAAACTCTGCAACTGCAAATGCTTAGAAAGCAAACCTGTTTAGCGGTCTTTCAATCATAGTAGTCAGAGAATTGGTTAACAAAAGAGTAACAAAATATAAACAATTAATCTCTGAAACACTTTTTGTTCCAATTTCTAAAAGGTGTTCGTCAACTGTTAAAACTGCATATTCAAATCAGGACTCAGTTGAAAAAACTATTACAGAGATATAGTGCCAACAGAAAGCTTGCGTCTTATCCATCGATTTATCCACTAATCTGACAAATGTTTGAATTATATCTTAAATCCACAAAAAGGAGGGTCACAGCATGTTCTGTAGTTACAGAAAAAGTACTGCCTGACATGATACAGTCAGAGTCTGCTTAAGACCATGGCAGCTAGATACATTCTGACAAAATCTTGACTTCAGAAGTTCCAAAATGTTCCCTCGTCAAGCTACCCTCCGTAAAAATCCCCATTTTAAAATAAAAGATCATGTGCCTATCAATATTTTGGAATTAAGGCCTTCATTTCAAATGTCTGCTTCTCAGTACCCGTTGTTGCGGCAGTCATCGATCCACTCCTTCATGACGGCGTGGTACGTGACCAAGTCGATGGAGACGTCCTTGTGTTCTGGGTCGAGCATGTTGCAAAGGTCTTCTAGGCCGCTGTCTTCTGAGTTGCGGCTGGTGGTGTGCCGCAGGAAGTCCACGATGTGAGAGACGTACACTTTACCTGCAAGAACACAGGAACACAGACACACATCTTGGTTCATTTTGCCTAGGGTTGGTTATTATACAATGATGGCTCAATCAATTTGTCTTTGTTTGGGTTTAGGAGAGGGCAGCAGTAACCATGGAAGCAGAATAATAACGATTCACTTTTTTTTCCCAGTAGGTTTAACACATTTCTCAATCCTCAATCATTTAAAAAGAAAATGGTTAGCCTTCAGACAGTTATCATAACAGTAGTATAAACAGTGGACTAGTTTTCTTTCTTGCAAGAAAAATGCATTGAATTATAAAATCTTTTAAATTCATAAATATCTTTTTCACTAAAACTCAACCTCTGGCAATGCACACATCAAAGCTGAATTAAACAGAAATGTGGTATACTTTAACAGCTTTAGTGGGATTAAACTATGCATCATTACTCTATTTGATTTTCAACCAAAGACTTCAACATTTTTGGATGTTATTCAATTTTCCATTTGAATATTATCCTTGAGAAATGTTTTTAACATGAAATATACCCGAAGATCACCGAGGTAGATGGAAAGAAAGCAACAAATAGACCCATTATCTCAGCAAACAGCAGAAGAGACAGCAACTTAAGATGCAGTCACATGCAGACGCAAAAGGAAAAGAACAAATCTTCCTCTTCAAAAATGGTTGAAATAAATCCTAAAAATAATAAAAGACAGAAGAAATAAGTTACCACAAAAGACCACGTCCCATACAGCAGCTTCACATGATGGTTCACTTAAAGAAAGCATTCAAATGCTAAGAAAACGATCTGGAGTGATAAGGAAACTTAAGGGGTGTTGAAATAAAATGAACATATTGTGTTGCTTTTGCTAGCAGGCACACGAGGAAGACACGGACAATGCCGATACTGTGTGAGTGGGGATTTCTTCCGTCTTCTAAACAGTAAAAGACACTGTAACACTACACCCAATGACAAGTCATAAATGTGTCAGCTGCTATATTCTTCTTTCTGAAAATGCGTGACCGAACCATTAATGAGTGTGTGCGTGTATGCGTACCTCGACGCTGGGTGTCACAGGCATAGAAGATGGTATCGAGCAGATTCTCCTCACAGATTAAGCTGATTTCTGCCATATTCTCCTTGTTTTCAGAGGCTACTGAAGATCCTGAGCAGGAATATTGAACACACACACGCCCACCGACACATAAATGCAGTGAATTAAGTTGCAAAGCAAGCACATGACACACTTTGTGTAAAGACACAGCCACTATTAAAATACTACTATAAAAACTAGCCACTGGACCCACCATTAACCCTTGTTTTGCCAATGACTACAGTTTTTTTTTAACATGTAAGCACAGACTGAAATATTGTAGGTTTTAAACTAGTTATTGGCTCCAAAAAATGTAATTCTTCCTAAAGCATCTGTCCCCAATATTACATAGCATGCTAAACTGAAGTTAAGATAATCAAAATGTTCTCCACTAACAATTTCATCTTTCTTTTCTAACAGGGGATGCAGTTTGCTTAAAAAACATAAATCTGTTAATGAAGCTGTAGCTGAAAGCTCTGGAAAAATAAGCTGGTATTTGTCAAACTGTTTCAAAGGTCAACAATTAACTTTCACTCCTAACATAATCTGTTTTGTGTACACTCCTACTGTACATCAGCCTAAACCTCCCAGTTGTTTTGCATCCGCTCCCCCCTACCTCCATCTCCCATGGACAGCCGTTTCACAACCAGAGCTGGGTAGGGCAGCTCCCACTCTGTGGAGTTTGCACGGTCCGCTGAGCAGAAGTTGAGGTTGTAGGAGAGGGTGCTTTTGTTTGGGGTGAAGGTACGACACAGGTGGGGGGTCTTGCTTGTCCTCTCGCTCTCGGGCCGCCCCTTCTGGGGTGTGAATGAAAAGTAAGGGGACTCTTTGGATTGGCCTGTGGGCGTGGAACAATGCCCTGGCCATGTCTTAATGTGTCTTAAATCACTCCCTTCTGCACCTCTCCTCTCACTTAGAGTGCTAGTGATAGTGTATGTGTGGTTAGTTGGCGTGGAGGTATAGCATGCAGGGGTGGAAGATGTGGGCAGAGAGATGGAGGAACCCTTGTTGCTCCTCTGGGAAGCTGCAGCAGGACTCATCCCTCTACCCTTCCCCCTCTCCCCCTCATCTCTGTGGAGGGTTCCTTTCTTCAGGATGCTTTCCAGGTTGTGCCTGAGGTCACTCTGCGGGCTGTAGTAATTGTTGGAGGAGAGTTTGGGGATCTGGAATGCTGAATTGGGCTCTCGGTCACCGCGCCACTGAATGGTCTGCAGTTTGCGGCATATGCTGTCCACGGGGTTGTGGCGACGATTTGGATGGGGCGTGTAATATTCCATGCTGCGGATGGCAGGGCTGCAGTGCTGGCTTCCTGGCTAGAGGAGAGGCTGAAGTCTGAGGAGAGAGAAGCAGAACATATGTGTTTTACTGCATGCAAAAGTAGGGCTAAAACAAATTTTTTTTTTTTTTTATTATTATCATTACATTTTTTTCTAGCTTAATTAAATGGTCCATAAAGCTATCAAAAATAATAATTTATAAAATGTCCGTCACTGTTTTAAAAAAAGCAGTACATCTCCACATTTGACAAGCTATTTTTGCATTAAAAGAAAATGAAAAAAATGGAATCAAAGTTTAGAGGTATGAAAGGAGCTGGATAATCTGCAGTGTAAGGAAGAAAAAACATTTCCATATAGAGAATAATAATTGTGAATATTTGAGATCCATATAAGGAGTAGCCCAATATAAATCACAGTTTTCCATCCAATGCCAAATAGTTATTATTACTTCTATGGTATAGAAGGTAGTTCTTGTGTTGAGAAATGAAAAACAAGGAGAAGGGAAGGACGGAACAGAGGATGGGGAATCAAATTATAACCTCCAATAACACAGCTCAATAAAACCCAACACTAAAGTAAGATAGAGTCCAATAAAAGGTACTGTTTCCATGCAAAAGGTTTGAGATGTTCAATCCTGCCTTTGTAATGTGAAAATATTCATCCATTTAACCAAATCCAAATGAATGAGTCACATATGTAGGCTCCAGGTGTGTGAAGCAGCTAATTAATTACCTCACGGACTAAAAACAAGAGCATTTGTTTCAGTAAAATGTTCCGTAGTGCAACCCCTGCAGTTTAAATACACATTAAAACTGTTTATCCTAAGTAGACAAATCAGTAGACTTGTTAAATGAAGAACCCTCTGACAGAAAAAGCAATGCAAAAGTGTTAAAAGCTTTACAAAATAAAAAGCCTACCTGCTACCACAGCTGACGTTTACGCAAATGTATCTTCTACAAACACCTGACGACCAAGCATAAAGAAAACACCTTTTCCGTTTGTCTTTCAAAAAGGCTTTGGCAAGAAGGGTATAATTGTTTGTTACCTCGTTTAGCTTGTAGAAGCAAATATCTGACGAAATGTTTGGGCACCTGTCGAGACCCACACAGAGAGCACGCGCTTGAGACAGAAAGAGTTAAACCTTAAGTGGGTGTCAACGACGCTAAAAGTAAGCAAGCACCCCCTCCCTGTGGCTGGAAGGAGACACAGCACCCAACATATCAAACTACAGGTGGGAAAACGTCATATTTATGGTGGCATTTTAAAAGTCCAATAAAGTAAAAACGGTTTTGTTACTAAGCATAGTCCATCCCCCTTTTTAGTGTGTCACCTACATCGAGCAGACACACTCCTTTTAAGAGACAACATACATTTTTGTGATTGAACAGAATAGAATATCTTTAATAGTTATTTAATTTATTAGTATTTACTTTACACACACACACACACACACACACACACACACACACACACACACACACACACACACACACACACACACACACACACACACACACACACACACACACACACTTTCAATCTTATTTAACCTATTCAGGAAAATATATGAAAATCAAGAAAAAGGAAAAGAAAAAGGTGATATTTCAAATAAAATATTTATAATATACACAGTTACTAATGTTTTGAATAGTGGTGCCATATGGCTGTAATTCTTTGTGAAAGTGTCCGAAACGTGGTGTGGATACAGTCCATCTATTTTATGAATGGGAATTTACCAACAAATAAAATGAACTGTAAATAGACAATTTCTCTATCTATTCCATCATCTATAAATATTTTAAAAGGTCTTTAACCTCAAGTTGTAAAATAGTTTCTTCTTCTAATCCGCAGAAAGAACAAGATTATTCTATACAAATTGTAATCTTTAGTCTTCATATCAACCTCGGGGTCTTACGTCTTTGAAGGTAACTTCTCCTACAATATTAACTCCTAGATGACATGTGCGTGGGGATAAACATAGCTGTTTAAATCTGGCAGTAAGTGTAAGTACTGATGTTTTCTGACACAATGGTCTCATTTAAGATGTAAACAACTAGCATACCGTTTCATTGTATATGTAATGCCATATCAAATTTGTAAAGGTCAATGTTACTGTAATTATTTCACAAGGCATATTGCTGTTTACACATGCATTTAAAAATACATTTGCCATCCCATTTTTGATCCCTTCTATACAGTATTGTGTTTTGTTTTTATTGCTGAACACATGTCCATGTCTTTAGTTCAAATTATCAGTATAAAAAAATACAAAATTGAAAAATAGCTGAAATGATTTTATTCAAAAAAAGACCCACTACCTCATTGAGTACCAAAGACAGACCATCTCGACAGCAGTTAAATACACTATTTCATAGAAATATGAATAGGGGTGTAATATGTTGTTGTAAGAAAATATTAAATGAACTGGGCACCCAAAAAATAATGTAAAGCAAGGAAGTTTTATGGGTCAAATAAACAACAAACTTAGTTAACCCCTCCTGTAAACTCTTCTTTATGCAAAGCCACATAAAAAACGATTTGTTTAAAGTTTGTTTGATATGAATACATGTCTGTGTTTTTTTCAAGAAAGTCGATTAGTATTGTGTCATTTTTTCAAGGGAAGCAGCTACATTTCCACCATCTCAATGGCTGTCAGTAGTTTTCTCAGCTTCAAAGTATTGACTGCATTGCGGCTGATTGGTTTGTACAACCATGGTGTGCTTCTGTGCATCAATGTCATTATGATTGGAGAGCACCTACCCTCAGTAGCTGCTCCAGCTGTACCATCTTGATGATTCCTCTTCTTCCTGACACCTAAAAATCCCCCCTGATGCTCCACATAGATATTCCAGCACTGCTGCGTGTCCTCATGTTGCCATGAGCAGCACTGCAAGGCCTTGAGAGCCACAGTCATCCAACAGTGCTCTTATTGTCACAATAAACAGATGAGATACTAATCCAAAAGATATTCCAGAGCTTGGAAACGCTACACCTTACTGGTCAACCTGATTGACTACATCTCTACAAACAGAATAGCGTCCGTCTGGGTGCCATGTTTTAAGGAAAGGATATGAGCGTTCCCTCCTGCACTCGTTCTCCTCTTCCTCCAGGTGAAGCCTGCTCAGCAGAATCCACTTTCCAAGCTCACGCTAAGTAGAGCTTATGGTGGACAGACACACAACCACACAGACGCACACTCACAAGGATAAGTGTTGGATAAGGTTCAGAAGAAAAAAAACATAAGCAAAGAGGACAAACATAAAAAAGGAACATAAAACAATTAAACATTTTTGTATAGTGGATAAAGTGCATTACTTTCACACAGTGTTGTACTGTGCTAGCCCGCTACTTCACAATTCTGTAATCTGGGATTATTGTGCAAACAACTTTCTGCCGCAGGGGGCAGGGCCTGTCTAATCCAAGCCAATTGGAACAGATAATTAACTTAAAGGGAGACCAGATTGATGTGTTAATTTATAAGGCAAGGGGAGACGGAGAGGATGACATGCAGCAAAGGATCATGGGTCAGATCCGAACCTGCAGCCGCTGCAACAAAGCTCTACCAGGGGGGGGGGGGGGGGGGGGGAAGCCTATTGTACTGCACTTAAAGATAAAGTCTTCATGTTACCTCTCTCTGCACTTCTAAAAAATATATTTTTGGAAAGTTTCGTCTTGCAAAGATTACATATAATAGGAACTGCTGCAAGATTGGAGGGCGAGTAGGCATCCTGCATGCATGCACTTAATACATGCACTTAACTGTGGTTGTGTAAGGTATATAGAACATTTTTTTAAAGGTTTACCTTTGATAAAAACACCATTATATTTCTTCACACCTTTGTTGAATACAATTAAATACATTGTTGCTTTTAAGTACACTCTAAAAAACAATTCATGGGGTTAGTAGATTCCACTTAAAAATAAATACTTTTTCAACATACATTTTTTAGTTTTTTACCTCAACTTATTTTAGTTAGTTTACAACTCATTTTAATAAGTCTGTCAAACTGAAAAAGAACAAAAAAAAATGTAACTTACAAATGTAATGATTTTGAAAAAATATTTCTGCGTTCACTCAACTATAGGGATAAACTAAGTTAGAGTAACTCATCAATTGAGTTTCAACGGTTTAGTTTCAAAACTGAACACACGCCTGGACTTGCCCGGACTTGACCGCATGTTGAGTTGGAGCCATCTGCATTCATCCTGGAAGCAGAACTCTAGCTAGCAGTGCAACAACATGATTTTGACCTAATAATCTATCAAGTTACCTGGTAAGTAGCCATCTTTGTTCAGCTTCATTTACAACAGCTGCTTACTGCATATAACACAAAATGTAAGGTAGTCATTAGCTACTTGTTTTAAGCTGTAGCATGCATAGCATACTGATTAGCTAGCTGTTTGTATCCTCCTGTATCCTTTGTTTCACAGTTGCAGTCAAAGTTCATTATTTGTAATACAGTATGTATATATTTATATATATATATATTTTTTTTTTCTTGTTAGAATTAACGTTACATTTGATAAAAACTGATTTAAAATAAATGTGAAACAACTGACAATGCCCGGCATGTTCAGTTTTTGCAAACAAGCCTTTGTTTTTCTTTCTCAACATTAAAATGTTCTCCTTTTAAGGATGATTCGGTGGAAAGAATAAAAGAGGTTGCTATCCGTTGCTTGGTGGTGTGTCTTCGTGAAAAGGAGGATCTCTTCAAGGAAAACTTAAGTAAGTAAAGACGATGCTTAAATCATACTGTAACTTGTAAAACACAATGCAATGTTTTCAAATCTGATTGCACCAAAAACACTGAAATGTATTTTCTAATCTACTTATTCCAGGATGGTGAAGTGGAAGTTAGCAATGAGGTGCTGAAGACTTTCTTGACCAGGGGTGCGGATGCAAGAATAGTGATTGAAGGAACACAAGTCCTTCAAATCTCGGATGCGACAAGAGCCTGTGCCTGTGGGGCTAATATACACACTTAATCTAAACTACCCAAAAGAGATGTTAAAAATGTTGAAGCAGGTTCATGCCTTTA